TCAAGAGCAGATTTTCAGTGTCATTTAAACAGTCTTCTATTGGAATAAGATGTCACCTAGGACTCTTAGAGCTAGAGACAAGATGTCAATGCCTAGTTTCACAGCTTCGAAGTACATAATTAATGTTGTTTTCATGCCTGCTATCACAGCATGCATTCTACAGTGCATGGATCAAGGAGTACTTTTGAATCTTAAGTCTTATTGATCAGAAAATGCATTCCCTAAAGCAATATCTGCCATAGGTGGTGGTTCCTTTGATTGATCTGGGCAAAGTAAATTAAAAGCCCTCCGGATGTAACTTACTGTGTTTTGGATGCTATCAAGAATATTTGCAATTCATGGGAGGAGCTCCACAGACTAACATTAACAGAAGGTTGAAATAAGTTGACTCTAACCCTCATGGATGACTCTCAGGAATTCAAGATATCAGTGGTGGAAGTAACTGCAGTTGTGGTGGAAATAACAATAGAAATAGAATTGCAAGTGAAGCTTGGACGTGTGACTGAATTGCAACACCCGCATGATTAAAATGTAATAGATAACGAGTTACTTCTTGTAGATGCACAAAGACAGCAGTTTCATAAGATCGAATCTATCCTTAATGACGATGCTGTGAACATTGTCAAGATGAAAACAAGTGATTTAGAATATTGCATATGTGCAGTTGAAGAAGCGATGGCAGGATTTTAGAGTATTGGCTTCAACTTTGAAACAAGTACCACTGTGGGTAGCATACTATCAAGCAGCATTGCACACTACAGGGAGATCTTTTTAAAAAAAAAAAATCCGTGGGTGCAATTCAGGGTTAGGTATACAAATGTTCATTATGCAGTTACTCGTGTGCCCCACCTCCTGGCAGTTTCCCACTACTGCCAATTCCCACACGCCCTCCCCTGGCAGTTTCCACCACTGCCAATCTATAGGGAAATCTTTCATGAAAGAAATAATCTTTCAATGTGGCAATGTCTGTGGTTGTCTTTTATTTAAGAAATAACTACAGTCACTTCCACTTTCAGCAGTCACCATCCTAATAAGTGAGCAGCAATCAGCATCGAAGGAAAAAGCTTCAGTGGCAAAAGGATTATGACTTTGCTGAGGGCTCAGGTGATTGTTAGCCCAATTTAACAATATACCATTGCTTCAAATTAAGGTATGTACATTTTTTCTTTAAATGAAATGCTATTGCACATCAAAGGGATTATGGTATAGCATAAACATAACTTTTATAGCATTTGAAATCAAGAACTTTGTGTGACTTATTTGATTGTAGTATTTGCTTTATTTCGGTAGTCTGGAACCCAACACATAATATCTCCAAGGTACGCATGTGTGTAATGTCTTGATTATCTCTTGTCACCGCTTTTGATTAAATTTTATCTGCTCTGATTCTACCATAGCTATCACAGCTCTCTATTTGTTACTATTTTCATTAAATATCTGTTTCTGTCTTTTACTCTCAAACGATTTGTATCCTTAGCTCTAAAGTGAGTTGCTAGTGCAGAGCATGGAGTTAGAGTTATTTTTTAATCCATTCTAAAAATCTATCTTTCTTTTGTTGCAAAAAATTAATATATTTCAATTTAATGTATCTAAAATGTCTCACATTTCAATGAAATGTATTTAAATGTCTCACATTTAAAATACAGTCATGAGTCACATAACAGTATTCTGATCAATGATGAACCACATATACAACAGAGGTTTTGTGAGATTCTAATATCTTATAGTTACGAGGTGTTAGAATCCTATAAAATCTCTTATAGTCTTATAGACTCTTATACCATAAAATCTTTTTCGTGCTGAGAGATGTTTAGATACACAAATGCTTCCCATGTGTTACCACCGCCCACGGTAATCGGTGCAGCAACACGCTGTAGATGTTCATTGCCTCAGAGCAGTAGTCTATACCACATGGCTTAAATGGGAACTAGACCATACCATCTAGGTTCACGTAGGCATACTCTGTGGTATTCACAAAATGATGCAATCGTATAACAACCCTTTCTCAGAACATATCCCATCATTAGGTAACACATGACTGTGATGACAGAGAGTTCATTTGCCAGTTTTCTTTTCCTTTTTTGGTCTATGTTACAGCTTTTTATTCCTCATATCCTCCATTAAGACCTTTTTTTGTGGTTGGATGATATTTTTAGTGATTTTTGATTCCCTTCTCATCTTCTTTTATGTATATTCTAGTCATTTTCTTCATAGTTATCATGAAGATGGCATACAATGTTCAAGAGCGATAACAATCTACTTGGGAATCGATGCCAATTTAACTTCAATTCCATACAAAAAGTCTACTTTTCCACAGGTCTTTTTTCCTTCATTTCTCAGTATTAATGTCACTAATTACAACTTTATACATGATGTACGTGGTAATATAGATTTATACTTATAATACTTGTATTTGTGTTTGTATTTTAAATCTTGAAGAAAAAGTCATTGCCAACCAAACTCTCAAAAGTGCATGTTTTACAATATATTTACCTTTAATAGAGGTCTTTATATTTCTTATGACTTCAAATTACTGTCTAGCCATTTTTTATTTCACAGTGAATTACTCCCTCCTGCATTTTTTACAGAACAGTTCTAGTGGCAATGAACTCTTACAGCTTTTTTTTCACATGTTCTTAATAATTTAATATTTATTGATGCTCATTTTTGCCAAATAAAGAATTCTTGGGTGACAGGTTTTTTCCACATTAAGTATAATTATTTCATATGTCCTCCAAGATTTCTGATCCAGATTCATTTGTAACTTACACGTCACATTTATCTTGCTGCTTTCAAGATGGCATCTTTGTCATTAGCTTTTGAGAGTTTGATTATAATATATGTAGTTTTGAATCTCTTTGGATATCCTCTATGCAGTTTTTAAAAGTTTCTTGAATAGGTAGATTTATGTTTTTCAAAATATTAAGAAAGTTTTTGATGATTATGTTCTCCAAATAATTTCTTCTTCCCCATGTGTCCCTTCCACTCCTTCTGGAAATTCGCTGTGCTGTATTATGGTTGCTTGATATTGTTCCATAAAAATTTTAGACTTTTTTCACATTTCCTTATTCTTTTTTCTTGCTCTTAGATTCAATGAATTCAAATATCCTATCCATTAGTACGTTTATTATTTCTTCTTCCTGCTCAAATCTGCTGTTACAACCCTTTAGTGAGTTTTTAAGTTGTTATATATTTCACCTTCAATTTTTGTTTTTTGAATTTCTCTATCACTGTTGGCATTTTCATTTTTCCTATATAGTTTTCTTGATGCTTAACGTACTTTGTCCATGTTTGTCTTTAGCAATTTTAGCGTAGTTAAGACAGTTGTTTTGAAGTTTTTTTCTACTTATTTCAATGGCCGTGATTCTTCAGAGGTGGTTTCCAGCAATTTATTTTTATTATTATAATGGACCATGTTTTCTTGTTTCTTTGTGTGCTTTTGTTATTTTTATTTTAAATTAGTTCTTTTAAAACAGCCACCTTCCTCACTCTATGTAGATTTGTTCTATGTCATCACAATCATCAACTAATATTCTTGACATGCTCCCAGTCTTGACATCAGTCCTATCTGAAAACTGAAGTTCTTTCACTCAGCTCTTTTCTGAACATGCATCTGCCTGGATTGCGTGTGCGATTTTTTTTTTTAACTACCTTCAAATTTCAAAAAAGTATACCCCAGCTTCTCCTGAGTGTTTTAGATGGCATAAATAATGCTTCTTTTTTTAATCTTTTATCTATGGCATCTGTGCAAATGTAGTCCCCTTGCATATCTAACAAGCCACTACATAAAAAAATAAGTTTATTTTGGTTAGTTATGCATTGCCTATTGCTGCTTATATGGGAAAATTGGGAGCTTTATTATCCATCATCTTGCTTACATCATTCTAAGTGAAACATGTCAGTGTCTTTATAACATGGCATAGTGTCACCATGTGATAGTTTAGCCATCTCTTCATTTATGTATTTATTTTTCAGTGAGAAGAGAATATGTGCATGACGGTACTGTAAGTCAAGGTTACTCAGAGATGTTAATCATGAATCATGCAAACTGCCACCGTCATGTTCTGATCTGTCCTCCAAAGGGAGGAACGGGTAAAAATTACCCCATGTGATGATTAGTCACCAATTTTTTATAATAAGTTTCCAGGTTTTCTTTAGGAATAATGTTAACAAAATCATGATGTATATAAAATAGTTATTCATGTTTTGGGCTAGTTACTTTATAGCAGTTTCTCACAAAACTGGGTGAAAGATACAAATATTATAAGGCACTGTTTGCATATTACAAATGGTGTCCAGAGTTCAAAAACTGGGTGAAAGATACAAATATTATAAGGCACTGTTTGCATATTACAAATGGTGTCCAGAGTTCAAAAACGGTTAATAATTAATACTCCAACAAACACCACATCAGGATCTTTTCTACACTCTAGTCAGAATTACAACTTCATCAAGACTGCATGTTCACTAGGATTAGATATTCCTACTACAACGTAAGGAAAGGAGAAACAATATTAATTTTTTGATAGTAAAGGTTAAAAAGGTAAATATTCATTTTTTAACTTTTAATTGAGTGTTAGCTTTTTAAAAATATGCTCAATTTGGTCATTTATTTAAATTGTGTGTGTGTTTGTGTGAGGGAAAGGTGTAAGATAGTCAATAATTTTAAATGATGTATGGTAAAAAAGAGGTAGCATCAGGACACAAACAGAAAAGATATTTGTAGCTGGAGGTTTTTTATTGTCCATCACATAGACACTATTTGTTCTACAAATCTCTAGGAAAAATTTATCAACATATATAGAGATTCTGAATAGACAAAAAAGCTCTGCAAGAAATTAATCAGTCTATTATAAAACTATAAATTAATTAATTTAAGAGTTATCTTTGTTGAGAATCAACTCTGTGTAATGCTGCATCGTTTTTCCTCCTTCTAAACGCCTGTGAGTTGGGCGTTGTCTGCCCATTGTTTATGTAATCTGCAAAGCAGAAAAAGGAAGAAACATCTGCTAGCTGGAGGAGTGACAGGCAATGGATTCCAAACATTGTGTGAAACTGAATGATGGTCACTTCATGCCCGTACTGGGATTTGGCACCTATGCACCTTCAGAGGTAAGGAGACTGTTTTTAGTGTGGAGAGCTGAAAAGAAAAATCCTATACTAAGCAAAAAGCCAACATAGGTCATCAGAATAATTTTCCAGTGGGACTCTAGGTGACTCACTAGGTATTAAGTTTCACTAAGCTAGAGCTGTATTCTGTACAAAGAGAAAATGCAGTCAGTTTTTGACTGCATTGAGGTCTGGTTGTAAACTTGGTCTAGAAGAACACGAAAGTCCCTAATCGTGCCACTGCATGAAAAAGTCTTAATGAAAACAATGACGGTAAATGAATCTTGGAAACTGCTTATCTTGGGAACTGTTTTCTTTTTTCTTCTTTTTATGCCTATTTCTCACCTTGGAAGAATATGTAAAACTCAGCAATCAAGGACACTGCCTGTCAGTTCTCTTTCTTGGGGATTATTGTAATGGGAGTGGTTTCCTGCTTATGACTGTAAGTCAAGAAATCGTTCCTCTTTCCAAGTAGACATGATTCAGAGAAATCTTTGCGGTAAGAGTTACTGCAGAGGGGATGCATGAAAATTGTTAGGAGAACTCTGCTGTTTTGCTGGGTGTTCTTGAGTACCACAGGGTAACACTGTACCTGGACTAAGTAGAAATTCCCAAATGCCTCCCTCACCTTTAGGAAAGGCACCTAAAAGGAAAACATATCATAAAAAAGGGAAGTAAACAAAGTAAAGCCTAATTATTGGTCCTGGTAAATTTGTATCAAATTTGAATCAGAATGATGGGGTAGTCCTCTCACATGGAAATGAATAAAACAGAGGATTTATTTTCTTGACTGCAGCAGTTCTAGACTGGAAGAAAACTTGCAATCCAATAGTGTCCTCAGTCTGCTAATTGAATATGGACACGTTGCACAAAATCTGAATCTCCCTTTTCTCATCTAGAAGATATAAGAATATACAGAGAGAGATTTTGAAGACAAGTGATAGTACCTGTTTACTTCCTAATATCAGTTGGCAGGAGGGAAAGTAAGGATTAGGACGCTACTGATGGCTGATAAATTTAAGTGTCTTCAAACATCAAAGGAAAGATCAAGGAAGGTAATAGAGAAAGGCAGTAATACCCAGTATTGAATTTCTTGTAACTTCATTGGGAAAATAAAGCTTTTGAAATGCTTTTTTAACGGAAAAAAATGTGTCTTATGTATGTGTTTGTCATTTAAAAATATACTTTCAAATCTGTATTCAAATTTGGTATATGAATCATTAATTTGAATTTTCACTGGAATTATATCTTTCCTAAAAGATCCTGATTTGTTTTAGGTCTGAAACCAACTTTACTAATTTCTTACAGGCTGCAGTTAATTTTTTATGTGTATATCTATATGCAGGATACATCTTTATTCCTAGTATTTGGTTCCGTTATGCATATAGAATGGCTGTGTAGAAAGAGTTAACAACATAAGCTGCTCTCCATGGAAGTGCCTATTTCCAAAATTGAACCCTGACTGGTCTCTAAAAAGTTGACTTTCTCACCATTCTCTACTTGATAAGGATGGTGGCTGTAATTAACTGCTTGTAAAAGTATTGGGGTTTATGAATATCTGCTTTTCTTTGCAAGACAAGAATTTTGGTGTGCCTTAGATGGCATGTGTCCATGTAACCAGCATCCAGTCACGATCTTAAGAATAAAATCTCTAAAGAACATCTTTCATAAACATTTCCCGTATGTTGCCAAAATATGATGCTGGAAGAATTTTGACTTCTGTGTAACATCACTGTGGATAACTCATGGGAGTTTGCACTGTATTTATTTTAAATTTCATTTCTTGTCTTTTTCTTGAGTTAATTTTACTAAACTAAAAATAATCTTGACTATAACTACAGCTATAAGCTGAGTTATGTTAACTATTCTAATGAATTACCAAATCTGGTTGTGTGTGGGGACCTCCAATGGCAGTGATCAACCAGTGATAGCCTGGTACCAAAGGGGTTCCTGAAAAGACCAACCTTACTTTCTAACTAGAAAAGCTCCAGGCAAGCATGGATGGGTTCATCTTAGAACTAACCTAAGTCAGGTAGAAAAGCTGATTTGTTTGAAGGTCATTGTTTTTGCCTGAAGTACCTCTCATTCACTTTGATCACCACATGCTATCTTCGATTGCTCCTCTAGGTTCCTAAAAGTAGAACTGCAGAGGTTACCAAATTAGCAATAGAAGTTGGGTTCCGCCATATTGATTCTGCACATTTATATGGCAATGAAGAACAGGTTGGTCTAGCCATCCGAAGCAAGATTGCAGATGGCTTTGTGAAGAGAGAAGACATATTCTATACTTCAAAGGTATTGTGCATTTGGGGCAACCATGGTTGTTCACGCTTGTAGGCCCAGCAATTTGGGAAGCCAAGGTGGGAGAATTGCTTGAATTCAGGAGTTCAAGACAAACCTAGGTAACATGGTGAGATCTCATTTCTACAAAAAATTTGCTGGGCATGGTGGCACACACTGATAGCACCAGCTACTTAGGAAGTTGAGGTGGGAGGACTGCCTGAGCTTAGAAGATCAAGGTTGTGGTAAGAAGTGATCATGCTACTGCACTCTAGCAGTGTAAGAACTCAACTTAAAAAAAAAAGAAGACATTGTGTATATGATGAACTTTGGGCAAATTTATTTTATGTGGTTATGTAGGGATGCCAACTGTATGACATGATCAGCAGTTTTGAATGAATTGTATTAAAAAAATCAAAAATAGAGAATAACGATGGCTTTCTCATCACCACTGTTTTCAAATTTATGCTTGTAAATTCACTTCAATTTTTTCTGAGCCTCAACTTAGATCAGTATGATTTAGCAGACTATAGAACTGAGAGAACTATTATCATATTATGGTTTTTGTAATTTCCTAAATGACTTTCTAACATTTATTATTATTCTGATTCTTCATTGCCATGCTTATCAGAGAGAGATAAAGCAATACAAGAGAGCTCTGTAAGTGTTAAACAAGAGATAAAGTGTCATAACTTGTGTCCAGAACACGTTAGCATGCTAAAAACTGGGTTTTTTAACACCCTCAGTTTCTAAACAACAGGGATAATTATTCTTGCCCATTGAGTGAAATGGATGTTTGAATTAGACTATTCAAATATTTGTAAACTCTACCACGTATAATTTATATAATGAGCATGATTGATATTTGGTAATAAATTTTAACTTTTGAGTAATTTACTTCTATCATTTAGTAAATGCATTAATTATACATCTAACGTATCATAATGTTCATTTAGATGGGCCAGAACCAAAGGAAACACTAGAAGGAAAGGAATCTTTTTGTCAGCGGGTCATCAGTTTTCAAGCAGTGGAAAAATGTCGAAATATTAGGCAAGGCAAACGAATACAACTGAGTCAAGTACTCATTCAACACAACTTCTACTCTTTAACCTCTACAGCTTTGGTCCACTTTCCATTGACCAGAGTTGGTTCGACCTGCCTTGGAAAACTCACTGAAGAAACTTCAATTGGACTATGTTGACCTTTATCTTATTCATTTTCCAGTGTCTTTTAAGGTAGGCATTTTATGAACTCAAATCTCTTTCACTTCTGCTGTCAGCCTGATCATTGCTTACATGGATGGTAGAATTAAGCTTTTACTTAGGGGAATGTAGGGATTATTACACAGGAATAGAGCCCAAAGTATAACTCCTCACGACCATTTTAGAAAGTAAAATTGGAATCTCTACTTCTCAACTACATGCCTATAAGAGAACAGCATACAGCAATCTCAAAGCTCCTATTCAAAACTTGTGAAAATAAGTTTTTCATTCCATCATCTCTTGGATGTTTCATGCAGCTGAGGTGCCCCAAAAACTGCTGCACACATGGAATACAATGTGTTTCCATCGTTCTCATCATTTCAAGCAGAAACAGTTTGATGGATCTGACTCTGGGTGGGACTTAAACTAGGATCCTTCCCGGGGAACTTGGAAATTCTTGCTTCTACTGCTGGCTCTAATTTCACAGTGCAATTATGTAGTTACGCTTAGGCATTACTTACTGTGTTTTGTACAACTTTTGATTTAAAGTTAAAGAAAACTACTCAGGTTAGTTTATCTGAAAGAGTTCATTGGATCTTGCAAATGAATAGTTAATGCCCTGGCTACATTTAAGAATTTGACGTAATTTCCAAAAATGTATCCTTTCTCATTCTTGTCACTGAATTCCAAACATGATTTTTAGATTTTTGTTCCAACTTTTTCCATTATTAGATAGTGTGACTTTGGGGCAGGTTAAGTCTCATGGTCATTAATATAGGAGAGTTTCTCTTGGGTCTTCCAATATCCAAATTAATCTTGAAAACAATATCCATTGACCATGTTAAGTTCATGGTACCGCCCCTGGAACATTACATGTTTTGAGGGGATAAGAAACTTTCATTGTATCTTTGGGGTCAATATGTCAACACAATATTGCTGGATATCAAGGTGCTTCCCAGACAAAGAGAGGCATCTCCCCAGGGGAAATTTCAGGGAACACAAAAGTAACAAGTCAACTATGAGACTTCATTAGGATCTGGAAAAATAGTACTTATTCCTACAAGTAATAGTTGTAAGAAATTAAAAGACACCTGTCTCCTAAATACATTCCTTACAGCTTCATATGTGAAAGTCTTTACAAAGATCAGTTTCTGGAATGTGTACCACATAGCTCCCAGACCATTATTGTCCTTAAATGTACCTGAGAGCATGGTTATGGCTGAACACGTTAATTCATTACATCTTTAAAACGACTGCTTCTACTTCAGCCAAGTGAGAAGCTTACACCTACAGATGAAAACGGAAAAGAGCTATTGGACACAGTGGATCTCTGTGCCACGTGGGAGGTGAGTACTGGAAGGAGAGAGCAGAGATGGGAAGACAAGAGCGGTCAATCTGGCTCCCACCTTCCACCTGAGAGAATGAGAATGCATTATTGGATTAAGAAATTCACAAGCTTTGCAAGGGAGATTTTTCTGAAAGGTAGGGAGAAACATGACTGAAAGGTAAAGGAGAAACTCGCAGGAAAGGAATTGGGAACAAGGAGGACAAGTGTCTCTTTCCTTTCATATGCAATAATCTCTTGTTTCCTAAAGAGGACACAGAAATTCTTAACCTTGATGTCCCTGTCTTCTTCCCCTATTTTCTGTTTTAATTTTTGTCTTCTAGCCGGGCTCGGTGGCTCAGCCTGTAATCCCGCGCCTCTGGGAGGCTGAGGTGAGTGGATTGCCTGAGCCCGCGGGTTCGATACCCACCTGGGCAGCGAGACCTCATCTCTACTATAAATCAAAAAATCAGCCGGGCGTGGTAGCGCATGCCTGTAATTCTGGCTACTTGGAAGGCTGAGGCGGAAGGATCGCCGGAGCCCAGCAGGTTGAGGCTGCGGCGGCTGGGAGCGGCCACTGCACTCCAGTCTGGGCGACAGAGTGAGACTCCAACTCAAAAAAAAAAATTTTTTTTTGTCTTCTTGACAATCACTGCTAGCTGGTTTCATTGTCATGTTTTGATAGTGGTTGTTTTCATTGTTCTACCTTTCATTTGCCTTGACATGCCAACTGCACAAATGATTCTTCACAATCCCTTTCTCCAAAGGCCATGGAGAAGTGTAAGGACGCAGGACTGGCCAAGTCCATCGGGGTGTCCAACTTTAACCGCAGGCAGCTGGAGATGATCCTCAACAAGCCGGGGCTCAAGTACAAGCCTGTCTGCAACCAGGTGAGCACCCCAGCCTCCTCTCCTTCCTGTTCTTCACTTTTCTTCCTGTATGATAGCCGGGGGTTCATAGGTTCTTCTTAATTTACCTTTGTCACAAAGAACATTCTAAAAAGCAAAACTTGGTCTAGAAGAACACAAAATTCCCTAATCGTGCCCCGGCATGAAAAAGTCTTAATGAAAACAATGACGGTAAATGAATGCTGAGTTGTATGTGACATTCGTTCAAGGTAAATCAGATCAAGAGGAGTTACAAGCTTCAATAAGAACTCAGGTAGATGGCAGACTTATCCCTAAGTTATAAAAGACAACAATCGAGTTGATGGGTGAAGGCAATTTTAGAAAATTTTGTAATAGTGGGAAGGCCAGAAAAAGATGGCATGGGCAGTAAATAAGAAGAGAGTGAGAATAAGAGAAGGTAGACATTAAGGGTTTAAAAGAGAGTTGAATGACCAGGTCCTTTGTCTTGGTATCCCTTCTTTAAAGGGTTCTTGACGGGGCACAGATACACTAAAACTTAACTGGAGACAATGAAAGCCATCCAGGTTAGAGAGAGGAAGTCACCGGTTTATACAGATACCTGGGTATGGTGAATGAAGTCAACACTGAGGGACACTTTGGCGAGCGTAGAGCTGACCTGTGACTGCCCACATATCCGTCTGCCGCTTCTCTGTGCTTTCTCTCGTCGAATACACGGTTTGAACTCATCTGTTCTCTGCATGGTTCTGGGCTCTAACGGACTTTTTAGCCAGTTAGAGTAAAGGAGTAAAACTCTACAATGGAAATACATAGTATATTATATACATGACAGTGCTTGATTTTCAAATTAAAAGGTCAAGAAACTAATGTGATTTTAATATGAGTTTTACCCCAATTTTTCATTATGGCAATTTTCAAACATTCACCCAATTTTGAAAGAATAACACAAGACATACGGATGTCATCCACTGTATCCAAAATTGTTGGCAATTTGCCACACTGCCCAAAATACGGGCATATATACATGGGCAAATGCATAAATATGTATAATGTTCCAGAACCTCTTTAAAGTAAACTGCAGGGATGACAATTCACTCTTGCAAACCATAGTGTGTCATAGGAATGAAGACAGTCTCCCAGTTTAATGGCATTAATTTATCTAAAAAAAAAAACTAATGATAATGTTCCCATATCATGTACTATCCAGTGAATAGTCAAATTTTCCATTTTTTCCCCCAAAGTCTTTTAAAAGTCTTCTTTTAAAACCAGAATCCAATTGTCATTTCTGATTGTTGTATTTTAATATTCATCAACTTATTTTTTGCAAGTTGTTAAAAAGTTTCTGTAAATTAAATGGTAGATTTGAATGCTTTATTAATTTGGTTTAAACATTTTTCACAAGAAAAAGCTTTCAGTAGGCTGTGTCCCTCCAAGGTAGACAGCATGAAATGACAGATTGCCCCATTGTTGGTGATAATTTGATCACTTGGTTAAGCTATTGGTAGCCATATCTGTTCTGGAAAAATGTACTTAACCCTATGTAATTAATAGTAATCTGCTGTGTGATAACAGACAGCAGAAAAAGTCATATTCCATAACAAATTTTCACATAGTGGCTGAGTACACATCAGTGACTTAAATTTTTTGTATTGCTTGGTAATATTCTCATTGTTTTGTTATTGCCTTTGGGTTTTTAAATGATTATTTTCCATTTTAATGATTAATATTACTAATGTCACCTGACACTCTATTATGAAAAAAAAAAATCCTTCACCAAGTCAATATGAGGAACTAAACTCCTCTAAAATACGGTTAAAGTTTACCTCTTTTTCTCTAATTATCAATGTTCTGAGAAAGGATTTACTGTGTTAGCCACCGTTAGTGGGGGCAAGGGTTTTTCTTCTCTCTCTCTCTCTCTAATTCTCTTACTCATCACTATAAACTCATAAATTTTCTTCCTCCTGATTAGTAATTGATTTCACTCGTAATTCTTTTTGATGTTCAAATCTACTCAAAAGTCCTCATTGAGATCCCTTTAAAACTAGTTATTTTGTCCTTGAGATGTGCATTAATGAGTCTTAGAACAAATTCTTACTTTCTGGCACTATTTCATGTACAGGGCTCAAAGAGTCTTACCCTATCCCAGATCTGGATATCGCCATGTCTTCTTCCAGTGAACAGAGGTTTTAGAAAATAGGATCTGGTACCCACACTTGTTTATTTCCAGAAATGGCATTTCCACTTACACTTTTAAGAGACACTGAGGTATAAAATTTATTTTTATAAAAGAGGTCATTACTTGAGGTTAATATTCTCAGTCCCAATTGAATGCTATACAAATTTTATTATGCTTCACTTTTTTAAAATATTTGCTTATTAATAAAACTATTTTCCTGTAATCTGATGCTTTTCTGTCTTGGTCATCTACAGGTAGAATGTCATCCTTATCTCAACCAGAGCAAACTGCTGGATTTCTGCAAGTCCAAAGACATTGTTCTGGTGGCCTATAGTGCTCTGGGAAGCCAAAGAGAAAAACGATGGTATTAAGAACAATGGGGAATTCACCTAGAACACCACTTTGATGAAAAACTTTTCATCGTATATCATACTTGGTTTTTCCAAAGTTAAGTCTCTACTGGCTCAGGGAGATAGGAGAATGTGCCTTTCTGACCAGGGCCCAGGTGATGTGATGCCTCTGGTCTAGAACCTCCCTGAGAAGCCCTGGTGTAGGATAGACAGCTTTATCTGTTTTGGAAGCCTCCTAACCAACTGGATATGCAGTCTCAGGACTTGGGCATTTCTGTCTTTCCTTCCAGGGTGGACCAGAACTCCCCAGTCCTCTTGGAGGAACCGGTCCTTGGTGCCGTGGCCAAAAAGCACAAGCGAACTCCAGCCCTGATTGCCCTGCGCTACCAGCTGCAACGTGGGGTTGTGGTCCTGGCCAAGAGCTACAATGAGCAGCGGATCAGAGAGAACCTGCAGGTGAGGGCGGGGCTGTGGGCATCAGGGCTCCTCACAGTGTCCTTCATGCACGTGCTTGTTGGTAAGGCTCTCGAGATGCCCTTGGGCCAAGCCCGTTTCCCTGGCATGTTCCATGCATTTATGCTTTGTGTGCATTCATAAGGGTCTTCTGTCACGTTACAGCAAGAGAGACAGCATGGGTAGATAGAGTGAAGACTGGGTCCCAACAGAGCTGTGGGTTTCACCATTCAGTCGGCGCATTCCTCTGTATCCCTAGGCTGAGAATATTTCTTTTTCCTCCCTTTCTAAAATAAGACCGTTGAGTTAGATGCTCTTTCGTCTCTAAATCATTGTGCTTTTTGAATTTCTTTGCAAATTTCCTACATTTATTCTCTAGAGTTTCCTCTTTGTGAATTGTCTAAGTCTTTGTTGCTTTCTATTGGGCTATTTGTCTTTGTTATGTGTAGAAATTCATAATTATATTCTCAGTAGAAATGTAAAACAAACCTTCCTTAACATAGAAGATTAAAATGAGAATCATTTAATTAGCTCACACCTCAATGGTTAGAAATTAGTCTGGGCTCCATCTGAAATTGGCCAAGATCTTCTGTTCCCAGCGGGGTTCTCTCATGCTTATGCAGAGCAAGGAGGCAACCCTGCTTCAGGATGATGAGGGGCAGTTGCCTGGGTCCCTCCCTCTCCCCGTATGGTTCTTCGTCCTCCAGCCCAGGTTTCACCTCATTCCCTGGCACGATCGCAAGGCAGTGGGTGGGTACGTGCCAAACCTTGTCATGTCTAGGTTCAAGCTGGCACACCATTGCTTCTGGCCAATTCTACTGATCAGTGCAAGTCACTGGACAGACTAGACTCAACGGATCGAAAATAAACACCAACTGCTTTTAGAAGGAGGCGTAAATTAATGTATAAATGCATGTGGACACAGGGACACAAGACACTGGAAGTCCTGATTTTAATGAATTAATAACACACACATATATGTCTTCTCGGTAGGAATTCTTTTTATATTCAGGTATGTTGTTGAAATGACACCTTCGAAATTGGACTTGTGCTTTTATTGTCTTCCTGGTTATGTTTTTATGAACCCAAGGTTGTATTCTTAAGACTGTCAAATGCTTCATGCCTATTTTTTGTGTTTGATGACTGTTGTGTCTTTTCCTATATTGGAAACATAGCAATTTTTCACTTCAATTTTCATAAAATTGGGAATAGTTTTTCCTTATAAATGTGGCTGTTAGTTCTAATGGAATTGTTTTCTTTAATAGCATGTAAAACAGGGATCCAGATATATGTATATAATTTTTAAATTGATATAAAAATTCCCTACTAACAATTATCGAAAAGTCCATATTTACACACATATCCTGACTTATCAACTCTCTCATACATGAAACGTGCATAAGTAGTTATCTGGTCTCTCTCATGTTGTCAATTGAATCATTGGCATTTTGGTGTTATCTAGATCATGTTGGAAAGAAAGTGTTGGTAGAAAAATACTACAACTTTTTTCTAACTTCTCTCATTTAGTAATGTCTTGGCTATTTCTTAGTAACTGTTTTTTAAAATTGAAATTAGAATCATCTTATCAACTTCTGCACAAGAATGAATGTTTTAGTCTCCAGTGGATATTGCAATGAAATTATAGATCAATGTGGCCAGAACTCACTTCCTGACAATATTGAGATTTTTGTTCCACAATCATAAAATACATTCCCAACTGTTTCAGTGGTTCTTTAATATATTTTATAATCTTTAATAATATCTTATGTCTAGGAATGAACATCTGTTTACTTTTCACTGAGTATTCGTAAACCACTTGAGTATTTAGAGGTCTTTCATAACTTTTGAAAATTTATCAGATATTTTTCGTGTTGTCTCTAAACTCTACTGTCTGATATACTTGGGTATTGCCAGTTGGTAGTAATCTGACAATCTAACAATAATCAAAGTTATCTACTCCTATGATAGATTTTTGAATTCTAGCTAACTTTCTTCATTTAGGCATTTGTATGCATTTTCTTAGATTTATTCACAGATAATTCATTATTTTTCCAGTCTTTGGATACTTTTTGCTTTTCCTTTTGTGATTTTTTAAAAAATTTTCAATTAATGTACAGAAATGTTAAATAATAATGCAGCAAACACCTCCTACCTAGGTCCATCAATTGTCAAATTGTTTACATCTTCTACTCTCTCCTCCCTCCTCTTACTCTCTGCATTACTATTTCCAAATATTCCTATGAATTTATGAAGTCATTTTTGTCAATGTGTTAACAATTAGTGATGTATATTTGATATTTAACGTCTCACAAATTCAGAGAAACCCTTCTCAAACCAGGACCTGTGTTCTTAGAATAGGACATCACTAGTATTTGGATGATTCCTGGCTTGAACATATTAAAAACAATATTTTTTCATGTTCCACCTGATCACTAAAGAGCTGAAGAAATCCAACATTTATCAAACTTCCTCAATTATCTTATATATTTCAAAATTAGATGCTTCTGGATCTTCTAAGTACATCGTTCCATCGTGTAGGCAGGTCTACTGTATTTCATCTCAGATTTATTTTGAGAGTTTCTCTTTCTCGTAATTCCATGCAGTTTGAAGATATTATAACTAGGAATTAACTTATGCTTATTTTTTACTGAGTATTCATAGGCCACTTGAGAATGTATGAGGTCTTTCATAACTTTGGAAAATTTATCAGGTATTTTTAGAGTTGCCTCAAAACTCAACTATCTGAAATTACCAATGAACTGTTATGCAATCTAACAATAACAAAGTTTTCTACTTCTATGATAGGTTTTTGAATTCCAGTTGACTGCAGAGGACATGAAAGTTCTAGATGGCCTAAATAGAAATTTGCGATATGTTCCCGTTAAAACGTAAGTTACTTTGGTAAAAGTGTTGCCTCAATTTATTTTCTAAGGAGAAATGTAGGATGGTGTTAATAACTCAAAATTAGGAAGACAGAGACCAGTTTGATTCAGAGATGAGTCAGGAACTTTCTGGAACTCTCATCCCAAATTTACTCCTAGATTCTATTTTCTGACAAAATGAGAGAGCCCAAGGTCAGCATGGGTCTCTGCTCTCCTTTCTCGATGGAATTTTCCAGTGCAGCCAACGTCAGTGTTGAATCTACGCCTTCATGTAGGCCTCTCATTTCCACCACAGTCAGGTGGGCATACATTGTGGATACTACTAATGTAGCCCAGTTAATTGCTTCCAGATCTGTGCTTATATCATATACTCTCAAATATGCTAAATTCCATATCAGATAAAAGGCATTTCAAACAGCCTTGTGGTCCAAGCCTGAAATGCCCATCTTCTCCACATGGAATCAGTCACAGGATCCCATTAATTCAGAGTTCTTCATAGTTTCACATACCTTTGTTCCTTTTACATGGATGTTTGCTCATGACCTAAACACTTCTCTTTCTTCAGAAAGTCTGCCTTAATAGAGTAAGGAAGAGCACTTGGTTTTGATCTTATGCAACGTGGTGATCTCAATGCAGAGGACAAATACATTTTAGAGAGGAGAGAATAAAAATCAAGGAAAGAGTGTGGAGACAAAAACCCCACTGTGGGAGAAAACATTACCAACAAAAGATCTTTGCTTGCCTTCATGCCGTAAGGTTCTAGTATATCCACAGAGGGCCACTCATGTGATGAGGGAAAAGCAAGAAGTTATGTGTCTAGTGTCAGTAGAGGCTTTAACCGGTAGTAGAAATGATGGGATAATGTACAAAAGAAATAAGCACAGTGGCACATCTTAAGGACTCAAAACTTGACAGGCATACTGTCATTTTAGAAATGGTGTTAGTTTAGAGGAAAAAAAAGAACAAAAATATCATAAAAAAGAAAGGAAAAGAAGCAGGCACTGATATTCTTACCACCAATAAAATATTGAATGGAAGGCACTCCTTTATTCAACACTTTATATTTTGTATTATTTCTACATAGAGTTTAATGTTTTGTAGCTCGTTGAACTTGGAAACATTATTATATTTAGCAATTTATAATTCTGAATATAAGACAATATTGTGCTTATGGTAGGTAGATAGCAAGTAATAAAAAAGTCAATAAAAGATATTATAATTGCTACCAGTAACCTTTAACACTCAAATTAATTAGTGATAAATATATAGCAGCTTGTCCCTTTCAAAATAAGACAGAATGGGTCCACTTTCATGATAATTTAAAATAGGAATGTAGAATATGCCTTTGCTTTGTTGAAAAATGTAGAGGAGTATGTTTGAATATATGACTTTGTTAATATATTTAATTTTCACACAAGAGGTTATAATTTGAAAAATGCATTATTGCAAAAAAAGGCACACATTAGGAAACTTTGTTTTCAACAGTAAGAAAGGAAGACTCTACAAGCAGTCAGGAACTAAACTTCTAATTTACCCTGAAGGCAACTTCTTCAAAGTCACTTGTCCAACACCCTAGGAGTAAGTCACTGCATCCACATTATGCACTATACTCTCTCTTTTCAGTTTAGCTGACCACCCTAACTATCCATATTCGGATGAATATTAACATGGCAGTATCTGCGAGACTTGGACCAGAAGCCCCTGCCTGTGGATGGCAATACAGAAGATGTCTCAGATGCTTGTGATAGGCCATGTCACCTCTGGATAAATCCATCCTGCTTAG